CATCCTGGCTAATAGCCATTAATGGACTTAACCTCCATGAATTTATCCAGTTCTCTTTTAAACGCTGTTATAGTCCTAGCCTTCACAACCTCCTCAGGTAAGGAGTTCCACAAGTTGACTGTGTGCTGCGTGAAGAAGAACTTCCTTGTATTTGTTTTAAACCTGCTGCCTATTAATTTCATTTGGTGACCCCAGTTCTTGTATTATGGGAATAAGTAAATAACTTTTCCTTATCCACTTTCTCCACACCGCTCATGATTTTATATACCTCTATCATATCCCCCCCCTAGTCTCCTCTTTTCCAGGCTGAAGAGTCCTAGCCTCTTTAATCTCTCCTCATTTGCCGGCCACTGCCAGCTTCTGGCAGACAGAGGCTGGGGACACCATCCCGGCTAATAGCCATTGCTAGACCTATCCTCCATGAATTTATCTAGTTCCTTTTTGAACCCTGTTATAGTCCATAAGGAGTGAGAGAGTTAAACTATTTTGTCTCTGCTTGAATTCAGCTTCTGCCCCTGAGGCTCTGAGCCCCGCCTGGCGCAGTTGTGCTGAAATAGGCAGCGTCGGGCTAATAAGCTGCCCGGCCGCTTAGGGGCTGGGTGTGGGATCCAGCTTGTCCTAAGGGGGTCGGTGCATGGGGCAGCAAACCTCTTCGGGGCTCGCTCTGTTCGCCGAGTTCGCGCTTCCTGCCCGCTGTCCCGCTCAGAGGCGTGAACCTCCCTCCCCCGCCCCGGCAGATCCCGGGCAGGGCGTCCCCCCGTGGGCTTCCCGTCTCCATCCCGCGCCCCACGGCGCTTCCCGCTGCTTCGCCCGGCCAGGGGAGCGCCGCGCCGCGCTGCGCTGCGGGGGCGTTGACAGGGCGATGCCAGTCAGCCAGGGGGAGGCGCGCCCTGAGCCCGGGCGCGGGACTAGCTCCCCTCGGCCCGGGCGCGTCCCACAGGGCGGCTGCTGCTGAGCCAGGCTCCGCGGGAGAGACGCGCAGATGTCTGGCCACGAGAGGTGTCCATCCCTTCAGGTAAGGGCTTCCCCAGGGGCCAGGCCCGCTTCTCGCCCCTGGACTTGGGCTCTTGTCGGGCGCCTGGCGGGGTTTGCAGACCATTGCTCTTGACAGGGCAGTGGGTGGCGGGGATGCGTCTGCTCCCCTTCGCTTGGATCCTGCGCTGAGCGCTGGAAACGGGCTTGAATCCTTGCCTGCGCCTGCCCTTCGGCTGTGGTGCGGATGGCAGCAGCTCCCCAGCTCCGGCAGGATCCGTGTCCTGCCGGTCAGCAGCCCCCAGGCTTGTGACAGTGTTGTGGGCTGGCTGGCTCAGTGCATGCTCCTAACAGGGACGTGCCATTACTGCAGCAATTTCCCCAGGCAGAAGGGACCCGGCTCCTGCACACAACTACCTAAACGCTGGTTGTTTCTTCTCGGTTCTCTTCCCTGGGGCTCCAGGCTGCCTTCTTCAGCCAGTGGGACAGATCCTGCCTTCAGCGGCACCCGTGCAACCTCATGCATTTCTGTGGGATTGTAGCAGTGTAACTGTCAAGAGAATTGTCAGTAATGCACACTTCTACAGACCTTTACTTCTTCATAGTAATGAATTTTAATTAAACCAATACTTTTAGTCGTCTTTAAAAAATTTCACATGAAAATATTTCCAATATCTTGATGCAAACAATCATATTGACTTTTTTTTTGTATTTCCTTGGCTAATGTTTGTGCTAGTTAAAAATATAACACACTGCATTTCTCTAACACCCTTTTTCCCAACCTCAATTCGCCTTTCCACCACCCCCTACTTAAAAAAAAAAAAACCCAAAACAAAACACTTCTTTTTCACACATATACAGCTGTGCCCTCAAGTACAGAAGTTCCGTACAGCAATGGGACCTGCAGAAAAATGTGAGAATGCAGCTATTTGTGGTTAAAATATTTTAATGTTACAGCATAGAAAAGATAATCGGGAAATTTAGTGTAAGCCCAGCTAGTCCTAACTTCTGCTGACCAACAAATCTCAATACATACACTATTTGTACCACTCTTTATCCTTCATCCTTTATCCATTGGACCTTCTTTGAAAATGTGTTATGAGAAGTGCTCTGATATGTACCTGTTTAGTCACTGAGAAGCTTCGATAACCCTGCTAGTTGAAAATTTATTACCAGCCTACATGGAAATGCACCAAAGGCAAAACAAGATTTCATCTACAGTTGGACTCTTGTTTTTACTGAGCATTGCCTCTCATTTGAACCACTGGATTGAGACTCAGGAGATCTGTGTTCAAGTTCTGTCAGAGGCTTCTTATGAAACCTTGGGCAAATCACTTAGGTCTAGAGCCTCAAAAATACTTAGGCTCCTAACTTCCATTGGAATCAATAGAAATTAGGAGCCTAAACACCTTTGAGGATTTGATCTGAATCTCGGTACTTTAAATCTCCATCTGTGAAACTGACATACTTCCCAAGGTGTTGTGAAGATCTTCATTAATGTCTGTGAGATGACCAGATACTTCAGTGAAGGGAACCATAGAAGTACCTAGATTGATAAATATGTTAACACACAGCACTAGTTAACGTGTCCTCACATGATATTATAGACATATTGCCTGTCTACATTTACTGGCAATTCTGGGTCTTTCTGTTTCCCTCCATCTCCAAAGTCTCAGACTGCCTGCTTACAGGGTCACTCTGAAGGTCAGTAAGCCCCAAATTTGATCTGATTGTTTTTTCTTATCCATTTGCAAAGTCCACATATTAGGGTGACCAGATGTCCTGATTTTATAGGGACAGTCCTGATATTTGGGGCTTTGTCTTATATAGGCACCTATTACCCCCCACCCCTGTCCCGATTTTTCACATTTGCTGTCTGGTCACCCTACCACATATTGTTATGTTTATAGAATACATGATGGTGTATAGTAGCACAAAGGCTCTATTGGCATGGATTTGGGCTAAGTTATGGGGGTTGTCCAGAAACAGTACTCATCAGAACTCTATACCCCCATATGTGTTGTTTGTTTTTAAAAGTGTCCTTTTTAGTTCAACATTAATTTTATCGGTACTACTTTTTTCTTATTCTTTTGCCTAAAATTTGTCAATGTTTCCTTATGCTCCCCCAGGGCCAGCTCCAGGCACCAGCTAAGGAAGCAGGTGCTTGGGGCGGCCAATACAAAGGGGAGGCACCTCCTGGTCTTCGGCCGGAATTCGGCGGCGGGTCCCTCAGTCCCTCTCTTCTTCTTTGAGCTGCCACTGAAGTGCTGCCGAAGAGGAAGAGAGGGAGCGAAGAACCTGCCGCCAAATTGCTGCTGAAGAATCGAGTGGTGCGATTATCAAGTGGCGCGATAGAGCTGCCGAAGATCAGATTTTTTTTTTTTGCTGCTTGGAGCGGCAGAAAAGCTGGAGCTGGCCCTGTGCTAGTCTTATATTCCAAACTGTTTAGATACCATCTTTTTTGTTACATGGCCAGAACAGTGGGGCCTCAATCCATGACTGGAATCCCTAGGCGCTACTGTAATACAAGTAATAAAAATAATTAATATAAATTCCAATATCCTTAGTTACAATGTACAGCCTTGGAATAAAAAAGGGGGAAAAAGAATAATACATTTTAGAAACCTCAAAAACTATTGAAAATACTGTCCTGTACAGTTCAATATAACTAAAAATTTACATAAAAATAAAATTACTAGAAAGCCTAGAAATCATGGATCCATAGATTCTAAGTGATCACTGTGATCATCTAGTCTGACCTTCTGTGTAATACAAGCCATAGAACTTCCCCAAGATAATTCCTACAGCATATCTTTTAGAAAAACATCCTATCTTGATTGAAATCATTTTTCCATTTCTCTCTACGTGTTTCTAATGTTTGTGGTTTGTGATTGTTCAGACTCTGGACCAGATTCTCAGTTGGTATAAATCAGTGTAGCTCAACTGATTTCAGAAAAGCATCACTAATGAGTGGAGTCCAGGAAGAATTAAATAGCAGAGAAAAGATTTTAAAAGGGAAAGAAAAGAAATCCATAAGGGTAAAAGCTTGGATGCTTGAATTCCATCTCTGATGCCACCAAAGGCAATACAGTATATTTAATTTTTGACATTCATTATTTATTCTTGCTTGGAAGTTCTTCCAAATCCCTTGATATGTAGTAAACTATCATTCATTCCTCACAGCAGTCCTTCAAAGGAAATCTCATCCATCCATATGATCTCTAAACTAGTTATAGACGTCCTGAGGCTGAAGGTTGCTGGCTACTTGCTATACGGTGCTGAGCACCCTAGCATACTGATGTCAATAAGAGCTCAGCACTTGGTGAGATTAGGCCCCAAATGGTGGAAGCAGATTTTACCATCTTTGTAATAATATCTTTCTTACACATGGCATTTCTAGTGCCATCAATGTCTTTCAACTGAAGATAAGACTTCTAATTTGAATAAAACCACATACAATAACAATGCAAAATTGTCTTGCTCATATGTCCAACACTGATCAGCTTTTGATAAAATATGATGCCACCTAGACTACTCTGTTTATAATAATGAGTTGGGGGATTATATTAGAAGATCTGAAATTCACAGCAGGTGTTAACCCTTAGGAAATCAGCTAATCCTAAAGGCAGTTAAAGAAATAGTGGTTAAAAATGATTAATCACCTTTCCTGAAGTACAGATAATACAGATTAGTAGAACTAAGAGACTTTAAAAACTATTATTTTCTTTTCACTATTTATACTGTTTGCATTCTTTTCATGTTGGGCAATATAAAGGAACTTGCCAGCCAGTTTCATACTTGTGCTGATATAGAGTTTCTGGTTGATTTCACTCTCAAGTTCTCAAGCAGGAGTAAGATGCTTCAATGTTTAGGTTGCAAAGACTGCTGAAGAATGTTTATTAACGAACAAACATTAAGGACACTGTTTTTCACCGGATTTAAAAAAAATCCTGGCAACATTTCTGTGGGTTTTAGATTTTGTAAAACTTTATTTTCCCTGACCATTTTTATTTTTTTCCTGACAGTGTCCCTGTAAAAACTGGCCAGTTTCCTGATGAGTTGCTAGGGGGCACTATTGTGTGGATGAAAGAGCTGCTGCAGAGGAGAGGCCTAATCATGAGTCTTGAGAGGAGCCAGTCCAGACTTGACTCTATTCACTTGCCTGTCTCCGGAACCCCTCACATCCTCCAAGCCTGTCTGCCCAACGTGCCACTCCTCTGCCCGCTTCTTGGTCCCACCCTGCTCCTGAGGCCAAGAAGTTGCTGAGGACAGGGAGGCACTGGCATAGTGTCAGCATCACATCTGAGCAGAGAAGCAGGAGGGAAGTGGCTGATAGCTCAGGTGAGATGAATGGATCTCTTTGTCTATTGCAGAGGAGGGGTGGGGTTTCAAGGCTTCTCAGGGTGAGTAGAGGGCAGCAAGAGAAGATTGGGGATCTGAGAGGGAGGAGGAGGGTGAGCACTTGCTGTTGGGAGAAGTGTGGGAGCCACCAATACTGCTGCTCCCCCCCTTACCACTGTAGTGGGTCAGAATTGTGAGAGTGGAAAGCTGTTGCTTTAAGTCAAGTTCATTTTATAACCTTATTGAACTAAATCCTCAAGTAGTGTTCATTAAGCATCTGGTTAATTATTGAAGGCCCTTTATTAAAGGAAGTGTAGTATATAATCTGCTTTATGTGAAGCCTTATGTTCCTTTACAAAGAGGGAATATTTGCTGCATAATATAATGATTCACCTACAGAAGCTTGTAATGAACAGGTATTTGTGCCATCACACTGGCTCTTGGATCTTTGGCAGTTGCTGTAAAAACAGATCCGGAAATTAAAGGAATCCACTGGGTGGTAAAGAGTTTTCTATCTGTTTTGTATAAAATCAGTAGAGTCAGCAGCATTACTGTGAAGCAAGAGTCCTGTAATTTTAAGTGTGTGGGAAAACTCATTTGAATAGGTGCAAACAGTCTATGTACATTTAGCAGGCTGTGTCCCATAAGTCCACTTGACTTAAATATACTAGTCTGTCAATATTTGCACCAGGCTGAGAGGGGAGAAAAAGATGCAGTGAGCAATAAGGGGAGAGGATTGAGGAATGTGTATGGAGCCAGAGAGGGAACAGGAAGAAATGAGAGCAGAGATGTAAATAGGTGTAGGATTGAAACTGAAACTCAGAACTTGAAATGTGAGACTGCAAGCTCTTCACTACACTGAGAGTTTTTAGCAGTTTTCTCACAGTTGGTCACCAACTACGGATGCTCCAGCAGTGCTAGCGAAGATGAGAACGCTAGTATAGACCGCATGCAAACATTTTTATCACTATATTGAAGCCTTCTCTGAGCAGATCTAGACAAATCAGTGGTAAGCACGCTGGCACTTGATCTACACTAGTGCTTCCACCAGTTGAGCAGCATTGGTACTAGGCCAATGGTGGGAGAATTTCTAAAATTCTCCATGTAGGTACAGCTTAAAACAGTGGCTCTGAACCTTTCCAGACTACTGTACCCCTTTCAGGAGTCTGATTTGTCTTCCATACCCCCAAGTTTCACCTAACTGAAAAACTACTTGCTTACAAAAGTTAGACATAAAAATACAAGTGTAAGAGCACACTATTACTGAAAAATTGCTTACTTTCTCATTTTTACCATATAATTATAAAATAAATCCACTGGAATATAAATGTTGTACTTACATTTCAGTGTATAGTATGTAGAGAAATATAAACAAGTCATTGTCTGTATGGAATTTTAGTTTGTACTGACTTTGCTGGTGCTTTTTATGTAGCCTGTTGTAAAGCTAGGGAAATATGTAGATGAGTTGACGTATCCCCTGGAAAACCTCTGCGTACCCCCAGGGGTACACGTACTCCTGTTGAGAATCACTGTCCTAAAAGACTGGAAAGGATTTAAGGAGATGATTTTATCGGGGGAATGTTGAATAGATGAAAAGGGGAAAGGCTTGAAGCGGGAAGGCCAGAGAAGAGAAGGTTGCAATTATTATTTATTATTTGCATTACAGTAGCACCTAAAGTCCCCAACTAACTTTGGGACACTTATTGTGCTAGGTGCTGTGCATATGCTTAGTAAGACAGAATCCTTGCCCTGATAGGTTTATAAGCTAAATAGACAAGACAGGCAAAGGGTGGGACAGGAAACAGAGGCACAGAAAGATGATAATAATAAAACCTACCTCTTATCTAATGATTTTCATCATTAGATCTCAAAGCACTTTGCACAAGAGGTCAGTATCCACATTTTACAGATGGGGAAACTGAGGCACTCATCACCACCACCTCTATCCCCAAGACAAACACACACACACACACACACACACTGGAGTCACTCACAGCCACTCCTCACCTCCGATGCACATCCTCCTCCCCCGATACACTGGAGTCACTCACAGCCAATTGTCCTGTTCTGTTCATTCCCTCTGAAGTATCTGGCATTGGCCACTGTCAGAAGACAAGATACTGGGCTAGACGGACCTTTGGTCTAACCCAGTATGGCCATCTTTATGTTCTTATGATAGGAAAGGAGGAATTGCCATACAGGACCTATAGTCCACCTCATCGGGTATCTTGTCCCGGATGATGGCCAGTAGCACATGTTGCAAAGGGAAGTGCAAGAATACCCATAATAGGCAGTTATGGAATAATCTGCCCATAGGAGAAGTTGTTTCCTAACCTCTGTCAGTTAGCAGTGGATTTATGCCTTGAGGCATAAGGCTTAATTATCACTGTATAATCTGCCTGCTCTCTAATATAACTGTGGATGTTCTCATTACCTATATCAATGTCTAATCCTTTTTAAAATCTTGTTAAGGCCTTGGACTTGGTGATGATTACATTCTTCAGACATGTGTGGCTTTATTATCATGTTACCTTTTACTTATTGCTTTGCCAAGCTGTGCATGCTACTATTAATCAGTCTCTCTGTTGGGTAAGAGAATGTGGAGGAAAGATAGACATGGGCAGGGCCGGCTCCAGCATTTCTGCCGCCCCAAGCAAAAAAAAAAAAAAAACCCCCGCCCGCGCCCGGCGGCCGCAATGGGGGAAAAAAAAAAAAAAAAGCCGCGATTGGCGGCGGCAGTTCAGCGGCAGGTCCTTCGCTCCTAGAGGGAATGAGGGACCTGCCACCCCCAAATTGCCGCAGGTGCTCCCCTCTCCCTTGGCCACCCCAAGCACCTGCTTGTTAAGCTGGTGCCTGGAGCCGGCCCTGGACATGGGGAACACAAGAGACAAAACTCCTCTTATGTTCTAGATCAATGACTTTAACAATCTTGTCAATGTTAAATGAACTCACTGTTTTTATGATTACTGACAAATTGAATGGTCTGCATTGTGACCGAGAGACTTAAAACTGTCATCTTTGTGCTCTTCCCCCATCTGTTGGTTGTATCTACCTGTTTTCATAGAATCACAGAATTATATTATAAACTCTATTGAGCCAGAAATCATTCTTCATTGTGTTTGTACAGTATCTAGCATAGTGGGGAAGACACCATTATAATGCAAATAATAATAATTGCCTTGCTTTGATAATAGTGCCTTTTGGGAAGGTCTTATCTTTTGGATTGATTGTAACATCCTTTTCAAACAAATTGTTGCTGCTGCTATCATAGTCCTCCTCTACTTATTTTTACTATAAGCTTCATGGAGATTTACTTGATGCACTTTAAAACAAAATTGTGATTACTCTGATCTATATAAGTGGAACAAAAATAAAAAATATGCATTGTAGGACAAATTTTCAAAAATGGCATCTATAATTGTGGCACAATCAACTGCAGGTGAAACTGACAAAATTTAGACTTAAAATATCTGATATCACCAATAAAATAGATGGGGAAAACGCCAAACCTTAGCACCTTCCCCCTGTGATCAATATCAAGGATCTGCAAACAAATTGTAGATCTAACAGTGATTATTAAATATACTGATAAACCTGAACCAAAAGGGCAGTTTGAGAATCAATGACAGATTTGTATTGATTCATTGTTGTGCTAATGAGGATTCTCTTAAACACAAACAAAACAGTTAACAGAAAGTGAAGTTACTGATGGTTTTATATATGCAAGCACTGGAATAAATTGCCTAGGGAGGTTGTGGAATCTCCATTATTGGAGATTTTTAAGAGCAGGTTAGACAAACACCTGTCAGGGATGGTCTAGATCGGGGATCGGCAACCTTTGGCACGCAGCCTGTCAGGGAAATCCGCTGGCGGGCCGGGACATTTTGTTTACCTGCAGCTTCCACAGGTTCGGCCGATCGCAGCTCTCACTGGCCGTGGTTCTCCATTCCAGGCCAATGGGGGCTGCGGGAAGTAGTGTGGGCCGAGGGATGTGCTGGCCGCCGCTTCCCACAGGCCCTATTGGCCTGGAACGGCGAACCGCAGCCAGTGGGAGCTGCAATCGGCCAACCTGCAGATGCTGCAGGTAAACAAACTGTCCCGGCCCTCTAGTGGATTTCCCTGACCGGCCGCGTGCCAAAGGTTGCCAATCCCTGGTCTAGATAATACTTACTCCTGCCATGACTGCAGGGAACTGGAGTAGATGACCTCTCGAGGTCCCTTCCAGTCCTATGATCCAATGAACACTAGCAATAATCCCCCAATACCTATGTGTGCCGAGGTCAGAATCCATGTTGTATTCTCAATTTTAACCAATTTGTATTTTATGTGAATTATGTTCCTTTAGCGCAGCGGTTCTCAAACTGTGGGTCGGGACCCCAAAGTGGGTCGGGACCCTATTTTAATGGGGTTGCCAGGGCTGATGTTAGACTTGCTGCGGCCCAACGCCTGAGCCCCAGTGCCCAGGGCCTAAGAGCAAGGGCTTCGGCCCAGGGAGGCGGGACTTGGGATTTTGGCCCCCACCCTCACCCGAGGCAGCAGGGCTCGGGCAGGCTCAGGCTTTGGTTTCCCCTCTTGGGGTCATGCAGTAGTTTTTTTTGTCAGAAGGAGGGTCACGGTGCAATGAAGTTTGAGAACCCCTGCTTTAGCGCATCCAGATCCTTATGTAAAAGCTGACTACAGCTGTCATTGCAATGGGATTGCTATCCAGGCCTTAACAGGTTGGTTGAAAGGGTAAAGCGAAAAGAGAATCTCATTGTTCTGATACAGGAACTGACATTTGGGAGGTGAACTTTGTTATATACTGAATTGTAGCCATGCATGTCTAGGTGCACTGGAGAGATGTGGCTGATTGTAAGGTGGATAGAAGAGGAAATGGAGATATTGTTAAATAATAATGCATTAATTATTTGTCAAAAGTTTTTCAACTAATGCTCAGGTTTTTCTTTTGTGAAGCAAATTCAACAAGGTTCTAATTTTTTTAAGTTTTAATTTTCAGGTGTTCTTGAAAAAAGTGCGTGTGCTTTGGGGGTGGAAAAGGACATGAGGAATAAAAGGACCTGGGAGCCCACTGATCAGAATGAAACAGATGTTGAAAGATTTTTCAAATCTATTGTTAGTTGTGCTCTGTGATTATGGTGAGTATTGTAACTCTAAAAGGAGTATTGTAGATATTTAACTAAAGTCATTTAAAAATGTTAATGTGTAGTGGTGTTAACAGATGATCTGGTGCATTGGGAACATACACAGAATCCATCTCAGGAGTGCCCAGAAATATAGTCTTGGACTTGTGAAAAATTTAAATGACTTAAATAAAGGTTGTATTTGTATCAGAACAGAAAGAGGACCTTCTCCAGCTGTGGATTTGTTCAGAATAAGAAACAGAATATACTGAACAGATTTCCGTGGGTATCAGCAAGCAATCCTGGCTGCCATCAGTAACTAACTGAGCAATGTTATATGGCCTACCTTCTATATCACTGTATTTCACATAATTCAAAGGAAGTGGGGGAATGTAGAGCAATGAAATTTTTTTCCAATGCACCTAAGTGATGTAGGAGCCTAAATGCCAGTTTTCAAAAGTAACAGGCACCTAGGTGCTTAAAAAACATTGACTTTTCAGAGAGACATGACTTACTAAGTGTCTAACTCACTTTGAAAATGGGGTTTAAGCTCCTATATCACTTAGATGTTTTGAAAATGTTATCCCTAACATTTAAATTAAGTGAAGTTGGTATTTTGACTCTCAGTAAATTTTCAAGCTCAAGCAAGAAAATTAAGCCATGCATTGCCCAACCTTCATGTACAGCCTTGAAAAGTTTGGAGTCCTGATTTAGTCTGCTTCTATGTATGTGGTGTGGTAACAAGCTTCATACTGGCCAAAAAGATGAAGACCAGGTATAAATGGTGCAACATTTACAGCTATTTGCTCTCAAAATATGTGCGAAAAAAACTGAATTACAGACAATTATTAAATACTGCACCTGCCCCATTACAGAAACCCACATCTTTGCTCCCAGCACTATGACAAGAGATCAGTTCTACATTTAACAAGCCTTTCAATTGTAATAGTTTGGGATGTAATCTAGCTCACAGTAGAAATGGGGATGTTTGTTTTTTGTGATGGCATGTAGCTGTCAACTCCCTGTCATTTTAATCAGACAAGTTTAACTTGAAATACAAACTTAACAATACAGTATTGACTGAGAGACACAGTGAAGATAAATGATTAATCCACATATGTCTGGGTGAAATGAAATATTACAATGTCTATAACTTTTGAGGGGACAACCATGCATACAAACATTACCTAGTTAACCCACAAACGTAAAAGCCATGATTCCTACACTAAATGGAACTTTGTTCAATCAGTCTAATTACCAGGGGAGGCTAGGGATGCTAAATCCTCATGATAACATTTTTATCATTTTAGCTCTTGTAATGACAATATTTCTAATATAAAGAATACTCCATGGTCCAGAAAATAACTGCCAAATAATTTTGTATATACACTCATTTGATTTATGGTCACACACATCTGCTTTTACCCATCTTTTCACCCATCTGTTTCCTTCCCATCTCTGTACGTCAGAAGTACATACTAAAAATACCTGTATAATCTGGAAAATTACCTTGCAGTAAAATAAAATATTCTTCTTAAACCTTATCATCGTTACTAAGATGTACACTTTTTAAAAATCTGACTGCCAGTAAAATACTGGTAGCTGAGAAGCCTAATTGGATTTAACCATAATTAAAAAAAAAATAGAATAATACCCAGAAATACAAAATTATTTTCACTTTTAGGAGAAAAAACTCTGATTGCAATAGCAGCCAATTCTTGCTATAACCACACTGGCAGGTCACTGGCATCACAACCAGGACCCACAAAAGGCTGAAAACAACCCAAGGCAGGCTATCCATACTATTGGGACCAAATTCTGGCTAGTGATGCACCCACCTTCATACCAGAAAGCAGCAGCAGTATGCAATGGAAATTGACTGCCCATATTCTGACCCTTCCGAAAGTCATAAGAACATAAGAACATAGGAACGGCCGTACCAGGTCAGACCAAAGGTCCATCTAGCCCAGTATCCTGTCTACCGACAGTGGCCAATGCCAGGTGCTCCAGAGGGAGTGGACCAACAGGCAATGATCAAGTGATCTCTCTCCTGCGATCCATCTCCATCCTCTGACAAACAGAGGCTAGGGACACCATTCCTTACCCATCCTGGCTAATAGCCATTAATGGACTTAACCACCATGAATTTATCCAGTTCTCTTTTAAATGCTGTTATAGTCCTAGCCTTCACAACCTCCTCAGGTAAGGAGTTCCACAAGTTGACTGTGCGCTGCGTGAAGAAGAACTTCCTTGTATTTGTTTTAAACCTGCTGCCTATTAATTTCATTTGGTGACCCCAGTTGTTGTATTATGGGAATAAGTAAATAACTTTTCCTTATCCACTTTCTCCACGTCACTCATGATTTTATATACCTTTTTCATATCCCCCCTTAGTCTCCTCTTTTCCAAGCTGAAGAGTCCTAGCCTCTTTAATCTCTCCTCATATGGGACCCATTCCAAACCCCTAATCATTTTAGTTGCCCTTTTCTGAACCTTTTCTAGTGCCAGTATATCTTTTTTGAGATGAGGAGACCACATCTGTATGCAGTATTCGAGATGTGGGCGTACCATCGATTTATATAAGGGCAATAATATATTCTCAGTCTCATTCTCTATCCCCTTTTTAATGATCCCTAACATCCTGTTTGCTTTTTTGACCGCCTCTGCACACTGCGTGGACATCTTCAGAGAACTATCCACGATGACTCCAAGATCTTTTTCCTGACTTGTTGTAGCTAAATTAGCCCCCATCAGATTGTATGTATAGTTGGGGTTATTTTTTCCAATGTGCATTACTTTACATTTATCCACATTAAATTTCATTTGCCATTTTGTTGCCCAATCACTTAGCTTTGTGAGATCTTTTTGAAGTTCATCACAGTCTGCTTTGGTCTTAACTATCTTGAGCAGTTTAGTATCATCTGCAAACTTTGCCACCTCACTGTTTACCCCTTTCTCCAGATCATTTATAAATAAGTTGAATAGGATTGGTCCGAGGACTGACCCTTGGGGAACACCACTAGTTACCCCTCTCCATTCTGAGAATTTACCTTAATTCCTACCCTTTGTTCCCGGTCTTTTAACCAGTTCTCAATCCATGAAAGGCCCTTCCCTTTTATCCCATGACAACTTACTTTACTTAAGAGCCTTTGGTGAGAGACCTTGTCAAAGGCTTTCTGGAAATCTAAGTACACTATGTCCACTGGATCCCCCTTGTCCACATGTTTGTTGACTCCTTCAAAGAACTCTAATAGATTAGTAAGACATGATTTCCCTTTACAGAAACCATGTTGACTATTGCTCAACAGTTTGTTTTTCTATGTGTCTGACAATTTTATTCTTAACTATTGTTTCGACTAATTTGCCCGGTACCGACGTTAGACTTACCGGTCTGTAATTGCCGGGATCACCTCTAGAGCCCTTTTTAAATATTGGCGTTACATTAGCTAACTTCCAGTCATTGGATACAGAAGCCGATTTAAAAGACAGGTTACAAACCTTAGTTAATAGTTCCGCAACTTCACATTTGAGTTCTTTCAGAACTCTTGGGTGAATGCCATCTGGTCCCGGTGACTTGTTAATGTTAAGTTTATCAATTAATTCCAAAACCTCCTCTAGTGACACTTCAATCTGTGACAGTTCCTCAGATTTGTCACCTACAAAAGCCGGCTCAGGTTTGGGAATCTCCCTAACGTCCTCAGCCGTGAAGACTGAAGCAAAGAATCAATTTAGTTTCTCCGCAATGACTTTATTGTCTTTAAGCGCTCCTTTTGTATCTCGAACATCAAGGGGCCCCACTGGTTGTTTAGCAGGCTTCCTGCTTCTGATATACTTAAAAAACAATTTGTTATTACCTTTGGAGTTTTTGGCTAGCCGTTCTTCAAACTCCTCTTTGGCTTTTCTTATTACGTTTTTGCACTTAATTTGGCAGCCTTTATGCTCCTTTCTATTTGCCTCGCTAGGATTTGACTTCCACTTTTAAAAGGAAGTCTTTTTGTCTCTCACTGCTTCTTTTACATGGTTGTTAAGCCACGGTGGCTCTTTTTTAGTTCTTTTACTGTGTTTCTTAATTTGGGGTATACATTGAAGTTGGGCCTCTATTATGGTTTCTTTAAAAAGCGCCCATGCAGCTTGCAGGGCTTTCACTTTAGTCACTGTACTTTTTAACTTCTGTTTAACTAAACCCCTCATTTTTGCATAGTTCCCCCTTTTAAAATTAAATGCCACAGTGTTGGGCTGTTGAGATGTTCTTCCCACCACAGGGATGTTGAATGCTATTGTATTACGGTCACTATTTCCAAGCGGTCCTGTTATAGTTACCTCTTGGACCAGCTCCTGCGCTCCACTCAGGACTAAATCTAGAGTTGCCTCTCCCCTTGTGGGTTCCCGTACCAGCTGCTCCATGAAGCAGTCATTTAAAGTATCGAGAAATTTTATCTCTGCATTTCGTCCTGAACTGAAATGTTCCCAGTCAATATGGGGATAATTGAAATCCCCCACTATTATTGGGTTAGTGGGGGCTCTGTCAGTGTATGACCAGAATATTTCTATTCTTATACAAAGATAGGGAAAGGGCACTGTGGGCTAGTCTCGGTCAAAGTGACCAACCCAATGACAGCTGCCCCCAGTAAAAGCAGAGTGGGTGCCAAGCTCTGAAGGCAGCAGCATCGCCAGCAGCAGCATAGAAGTATGGGTGGCATGGTATGCCACTCTTACTTCTCTGCTGCTGCTGGCGGCGGCACTGCCTTCAAAGCTGGGTGCTCAGGCAGCAGCCACTGCTCTCCTGCCATCCAGCTTCAGGCAATGCCGCCACCAGCAGCAGCAGAGAAGTAAGGATGGCAATACCGTGACCCCCAATATGCTTGTGATCCCCTTTTGGGCTGGGGCCCCAAATTTGAGAAATGCTGCGGAGAAATCACACATTTTTCATGGGTTGGTCATGGCATGAATAACAAATTTCATGGATGTGTAACACATCCACAAAATTTGCTATTTATGCTGTGATCAACTCACAA